TCGGTGACGTGGGCCCAAAACGAGTGCAGTTCCAAAGGCACCCACCTGTGGCAGCGTCTCTCCTTTCACATCAAAAAGCGCGAAAGCAACCAGACGGCTGTGATCAAACCCTTCTCCAAGACATCTGAGGGACGCTACTGCGGAGGCAGCGACATAAACACGGACAACAGCAACAACAAGATGCTCTATGAAGTCACGGAGGCGGAGGAACGCTACCCAATCACCTACCGGCCCCAAACGCCCTCTCCAATCAGCACCGTCACACAAAGAGCTAGCATCGCTTTAGCACAAAGCTCTGACGCGCAGGTCATGAGTGTTTCTACGTACATGTGCCAGCCTCCACAGCATCGCGTGCCATGTCCTGGCGGAAGCGCGTCACAGGGCTCTCTAATGGAGCAGATTAGCTGTGTGGTAAACCGCTTCACTGCTAACATCAGCGAGCTTAATAGCATGATGCTCACCAGTTCTCCTCCAGGGGGAGCTGTCGGTTTATCCACTAGCACTTCAGCACACGTCCACTCACCTGAACCATGCTGTCCACCATCTTACCGCCTGTCCCGGGAGGTTTCCCTACCATCCACTATGACAACCTATGCTGAAATACAGCCACTCCCACCGGTGGAGTCAAACGTGGGTCGAGCTGCCACCTCCTGCCATCTTTCTGGACCATCACGACTGAAAACATCTCCAACAACCAGTGGGAATGAGCTAAAAGTGGGAGTGGCATCAGCTCTGGAGTCGCCGTCCAATCAACCGGAGCTTGAGGAACTGCTGGCGCTGACTCCGCCCTCCCCCTTTAGGGACTCGGTTGGGTCAGGCAGCGCTTCACCCAGTTCTCCAACATCCGATGCTGAAACTTCAGTACTTCCGACCATCCCTAAATACGAGTGCCTGGTGCTGCGACACTACAGCCAAAGCTCGTCTTCATTATGAGGACCGGCGCGGATGGAAAATTCTAAGCGGTGTTCGGCGAAATTAATGTCAATGCAGACGGAGTGTGTGTTTACATGTTCTCACCTTTCGGACCAATAAGTAAGCTGCAACATAGGCTCATTGGAAATTAGTGCTTCAGCCTAGATTTTGTGTATAGGATAAATATAGAAATGTAAAAAAATTTAGAGATGTGGCCCCAGAAAGCACCCTCTAGGAGATTTGTCATCAGAAATGTACAACAAAATGTACTCAAAATAATGTATTTCAGATGTGCAAAAATGTAAACAGCACCCTGAAACATCACCTAAAATGTACAAAACATGTCTAAAAAACGTATCTTATATGTGCAAAAATGTAAACAGTGCCCTTTAGTGGATTTGTCACCTGACACGTACAAAACACGTCTTAGAAAAAATATTTTAGATATGCAAAAATGTAAACAGCGCCCTCTAGTGGATTTGTCACCTGAAACGTACAAAACATGTCTAAGAAAACGTATTTTAGAAATGCAAAAATGTAAACAGTGCCCTCTAGTGCATTTATCATCGGAAATGTACAATAAAATGAACCCAAAGTAATCTATTTCAGATGTGCAAAAATGTAAACAGCGCCCTCTAGTGGATTTGTTACCTGAAACGTACAAAACATGTCTAAAAAACGTATCTTATATGTGCAAAAATGTAAACAGTGCCCTCTAGTGGATTTGTCATTTTAAAAGTACAAAACATGTCTAAGAAAACGTATTTTAGATATGCAAAAATGTAGACAGCGCCTTCTAGTGGATTTGTCACCAGAAATGTACAAAACATGTCTAAGAAACGTATTTTAAATATGCAAAAATGTTGACAGCGCCTTCTAGTGGATTTGTCACCTGAAACGTACAAAACATGTCTAAGAAACATGTTTTAGATGTGCAAAAAATGTAAACAGTGCCCTCTAGTGGATTTGTCATCTAAAACGTACAATAAAAAATATCTAAAAAAACGTATTTTAGATGTGCAAATGGTTAAACAGCGCCCTCTTGTGGATTTGTCATCTCAAACCTACAACAAAATGTACCCAAAATAGCATATTTCAGATTCGCAAAAAGGAAACGTACAACAAAACATACCGTGAGTAAAGTATTTCAGATTCGCAAAAATGTAGATAGAAAGTGCCCTCAAAAGGATTTGTTACCTTAAACATGCAACAAAACGTACCCAAAATATAATATTTCAGATGTGCAAGAAGTCAGATGTGCTCCCTCTAAAGAGTTGTAATCACAATGTGTAATCACAACACAACATAAAGTAACATATTCTAGATTTTCAAAAATTTAGTCAGCAACCTCTGAAAAATACCCGATAATAGCGTATTTCAGAATTCAGATTCTAGTAGATTTGTCATTTGAAAACATCTTACAACAAAATGCAAAATGTACCCAAAATAACGGATTTCAAATTAGCAAAAATGTAAACAGCGCCCTCTAGTGGATTTGTGATCTGGAACGTACAACTAAACGTACCCAAAGCATTGTATGTCAGATGACAAATCCACTTGAGGGCGATGTTTCCGTTTTTGCAAATTTTAAATACTTTATTTTGGGTACATTTTGTTTTATGTTTCATGAGATAAATATAGATAACGCCCTCTAGTGGATTTGTCATCTCAAATATACAAGAAAATATAACCAAAATTACGTATTTCAGATTGGCAAAAATGGAAACAGCACCCTCTTGTGGATTTGTTATCTGAAACCTTTTTTTAAAAAAACAAACTCAAAATAACATATTACAGATTTGTAAAAAAAAACAATTTTTGACAGCGCCCTCTAGTGGATTTGTCCTCTGAAACGTACAACAAAACATATCTAAAAACATGTATTTTAGATATGCAAAAACTTAAACAGCGCTGTCTAGTGGATTTGTTGTCTGAAACGTACAACAAAACATATCTAAAATAATGTATTTTAGATGTGCAAAAATTTAAACAGCGCTCTCTAGTGGATTTGTCATCTAAACCTACAACTAAATGTAGCCAAAATAGCGTATTTCAGAATTCGCCCTCAAATTCGATTTGTCATGTGAAAACATCTTACAACAAAATGCAAAATGTACCCAAAATGCTGTATTTCAAATTCGCAAATATGTAGACAGCTCCCTCTGGTGGCTTTGTCATCTAAAACACGCAACCAAACATACCCAAAATTACGTATTTCAGATTTGCAAAAATGTGGACAGCGCCCGCTAGTGAATTTGTAATCAGAAATATACAACAAAACATAACCAAAGTAACACATTCCAGATGTGCAAAAATATGGACAGCACCCTCTAGTGGATTTGTCATCTGAAGCATACAAATAAACTTATCCAACATAAGGTATTTAAGATTCTCAAAAATGTAGACAGCGCCCTCTAGTGGATTTGTAATCAGAATTGTACAACAAAGCCTACCAAAATTAATACATTTCAGATATACAGAAATGTAAATAGCACCCTCTAGTGGATTTGTTATTTGAAACATGGACCAAGATGTACCCAACATTACGTATTTCAGACTTGTTAAAATGTAGACAGCGCACTCTAGTGGATTTATCATCTGAAATGTGGAACAAAACCTACCCAAAACAACATTTCAGATTTGGAAAAATGGAAACAGCACCAGTTAGTAGATTTGTCATCTGAATTAATTGAAAAAATTTACTCAAAATAACATTATAACATTACATTCAATAACAAATTTGTAAAAATTTTTAAGACAGCTCCCTTTAGAAGATTTGTCACGTAAAACGTGCTACAAAACATGACCAAAGGAACAAATTTCAGATTCACAAAAATGTTAATTATTGCACATCTGAAATATTCTAATTTGGGTAAATTTTGTTGCAGGTTTGAATTGTTGTGGTTTAAAAATAGCAAATGTTAGATTTGCAAAAATGTAAACAGCGCCCTCTAGTGGATTTGTCATCTGAAACGTACAATAAGATGTACCCAAAGCATTGTTTACCAGATAAAAAGTCCATTAGAGGGCACTGTTTCCATTTTCGCGAGTCTGAAATATGTGAAGTTTTGCTGTATGTAAGTTAACACCTTGTAGATTATTTGTCATCTTAAACGTGCAACAAAGCATACCTAAAATAGCATATGTCAGATTTGAAAAAAAAACGTAAACAGCGCCCTCTAGCGGATTTCTTATATAAAATGTAATACATACTCAAAGTTACGATTTTAGATTCTCGAAAATGTAGACAGCCCCCTCTAGTGGATTTTTCCTCTTGAACTTGCAATAAAACAAAACCAAGATAGCATATTTCAGATATGCAAAAATGTAGACAGCGCCCTCTAGTGGATTTGTCATCTGAAACATATGAAAACGTACCCAAAGTAACGTATTTCAGATTCACAGAAAATGTAGGCTGAGGCACATATTTAATGAGCCTGGGTTGTAAAGCTGTGGAGAAGCATCTCCGGCATCAGACCTGCAGTAGAATCACAATCGTTCGTCTAGTTCGGCGTTCTGTCGGTCTGTTTTGGTAGTGGCCTTAAACAAACATGGCTTTCATCTAATTAGTGCTGTTTCTATGAGGACTACAGTTTGATGGTGTCTCCCCGACTGGACAAACACAAACACTCACTTGCATCGTGGGGATGTTCTCATACACCGTTATTTTTTTTTTTTTTTTTGCTACGTTCATCATCGAAACAATGAGATTATTAAGGGCTGGAAAAAAAGACACGGCACCAAAGGGAAAAGCCTGTATAAATACACAATCTTTGGAGTACACTACTGCTGGTGCACTGTAATAATCGAAGCCCGCAAGGTGATGTCCCCCATGCTTTAGAAGGTTCAGACGCAATCTTTGAACAAAGTGCTTTTTTTTGATGTACCGCAGGACAGTGTGAGAGAGCAAATAGACGGATATTCAGACGCCTCAGTCATCTCACATGGTTTTCTCTTCACGCTCATTTTTCTCTGCTTTTTTATTTGATTCTGCCTGTGTTTCTACCTGCCTTCATAACATAAATAGATGAATCTCATGAAGCCAATCCAGATTATATTTCACCTTAAAATAAATTTAATATACTTATTTAAACAACATTAATTATTAAACATAATCCCACAGTGCAACAAATTTAACAGTTCTTATATTTATTAATATTATTTTATTGTCTTTATAAAGTAATTATGTATTCAATTCTGATTATTCATTAACAAAGTTGTTTTATATATATATCTTACTAAATGATTTCATAATTCATTTCTAATTATTGTATTATTTTGGGGTGAAATTTGACTGGGTTAAAAATATTTCATGATATTCACCTGTATTCACCTTTTTTACACTCTATTTGGAGAGTTTAGATGCAAAAACCTCTAAATGTTGTCTTAAATTGTCGTCTAAAGTGAATATTTTTAACAGGCTCCAGTGTTTAAGTTCAGTAATTTCACTTTTATGGCAAAGAATAAGTTGTTTTCATGGTCTTCAAAGTGAATATGTATAGCCACAGCCATGTCATCCTGCAGCCCAAGACCGGTTACTCGCTGAAGCTAAGCAGGCTGAGCCTGGTCAGTTCCTGGATGGGGGACTAGATGGGAAAACTAAGTTGCTGTTGGAAGTGGTGTTAGTGACGCCAGTTGAGGGCACTTAACCTGTGGTCTGTGTCCTAATGCCTCAGTGAAAGTGAAGGGAACACTATACTGTCAGATGAGACGTTAAAATGAGGTTCTGACTCTCTGTGGTCATTAAAAATCCCATGGCAATTCTTGTAAAGAGTAGGGGTGTCGCTCTGGTGTCCTGGCCACATTTCCTCCATCATGGCCTCCCAATCACCCCCATCCACCAAATTTGGCTGTATCACTGTCTCTCTACTCTACCTATAGCTGGTGTGTTGGTACCGTTGTCCTTTGGCTGCCGTCTCATCATCCAAGTGAATGCTACAACCAGGTGGTGGTGTTGAAAGAGCCCCCCTCATGATTGTCATTTTGGGTATATGGCCATACATAATAAATGAGCTATATAAATACACATTACATACTGACTAAATAACTTAACAT